ACATATTTTACAGAATGGGAGCTTTGGCATGTTGGTATTTTGTCACAACACCTATAGCAGACAAAAGAAACAAGTCATAATTTCGCTTGTATGCCTTCATGAGATCCATCACTCATTTGAAATTAGCGTACCTATGTGACTTTTAGCTTTGTTTCCTACAAATGTTATTATTTTATATTCTATGGTAAGCTTATCGTGTAAAAATAATGCAACTATGAGTTTTGACGCTCATATCATTCAATGGTTACGAGGGACGGCATAGTTGATGACCGCGTATTATTAACTCATCTGTGCTTTGCTAATGCGGACTGATGTAAATACGAGTTCTGTGCTAAATGTAGCTGCAGTGACCGCTCTTTGGATTCACACCTGTGTTTACGGTTATCCAAGGCACTCAGTCACAGCGACGGTTGTGCATGCAAAGAAAGGAGATCGTGCTTACGTTCGTATTTCATCTAATTTGCTTTTATTTATAAAGCTGTTGCAAATGGAACTTATTCTGCAGGCTCTTAATATAGTCTGCCCAGTCCCTTCGTTTCAAAAGCCAGGCTCTTTTTATTTTAGGTTTTTATGTCTTTCTCCGTGGTAACACTGATTACAAAGAAGTAAGGGCTACGACAGTGGGGTGAGTGTCCGCGTTCACCGCTGGTAAAAGTAAACAAAACGTGCCATGAAATGGGCATTTGCCACAGTGCGTCCCCAAATTGGGGTAAATTCTGCTGCCTAAAGAGGCCATGATACTCAATTTTCGGTCATAATCTGTGTTGTGTTGTTTATTTTTGAGCATTCACAAATAAGCTGGCAATATTTTAGCCCATTTGGCCAAGCACTTAATTTTTAATATATTACTATACAAACACACAAGGAGCCTGAAATCTGGCTACACTGGCATATTCGCGAGCCCTGGCGTTCCAAGCATGCAGTCGACTGTGTGAGCGTCTGCATTCCGGCAAACGATGTTGCTCGCCGTCAGCTGCACATGAAATCCAGATAATTTGAGCTTCCTTCTGCTTGGCACTGAAATTGAATATTGTTCAGCAGCTGAAACTATGGTAGCAAGTCATGGCGCCATTTTCGCGGCACGTGACGTCACAGGCGCCATGGCAAAATGACGGTCGCAGGCAGTGGGCGGAGTTTACAGCTGCTGACATTTTGGGCCTGTGTTGAAATCGAATATTCTGTCACGGTCCACTTTTCATATCTGTATTAGCCCCGAGAAGTGAGAATGGCTAATAGAACGGCACGGACTCTTCGATACACACCACGGTGCACCTACATATTAGATACTTTTAGTTGGGCGTACGGAGAAGTTGCGAACGTCGTGAAAATTACGTTTCATACAGGCTGCAACTGAAGCATGCGACAAAACTTCTAGTGTAACGAACCGTGAAGCGTTTCACTCAGCTAAATCCTATGCGAGATGAAAGGGTTCGGAATGCTTATCAGCGCCAGTGACATTAGAAGTATGCTACGGTCTAGTACCGTGGTGTGACTAATAACGTGGCCCCTGTGATCGTCACGAAAAAATCCTGACATCCAGGGTAAGGGCTACCAGCGTACAAGTTAGGCCGTATATAGCATTCGCTGTGTAGATTTTTAGCATTGTTCCTGATTGTACTGAATGCGCACGTTCGGCTTTGCTGTTTTGAACTTGGGTGCGTAATGTAAGAACGGCGCCTGATCGGGCATGGCCGCACTGGATCTATCCCAGCGTTTTAACCAGCGCTGCTCTGGGTGAAGCTTAGAGCATTCCGTAGCAAGTGATCGCGTTGCAGGTGTTCATAACCTTTCAATCTACTACCGGCTCATTTAGGTGTAAGCTGGCACAACGTTCAAGGCATGTTGTATTGCACCATATATGAAAGTACGTAACAAGCTACCGTTTTATTTGCGGGTCAATTCGCCTAGAGTCCTGGCAAAAAGAGACGTGTTCCCGCACACAACCTTTCGAAGGCGATTCTTGGGAGTTTTTGTGAGACACCAAGCAGTCTCTTCTGAATCATCAGGATGCCGGAACAACGGAACACGCCGCTTGAATGTACCTTGTCTGGCATGGAAACATCGCCTATCATTGCGAAGTACACATGCTTTGCATCGGGTCGACTGTTGCTGTCTGCATCGAACGCCGATGCAGCCACCATATACTCTAGTTCTCGTTGCCTCAAGGTCTGGCGGGAGCATAACGTAGTGGGCGTTGCGTTACGTACGCAGCGTCTTGTTACTGGTGTACGCGCGCGTCTCTGGAATCAATGAGTTACGTATGCTGCACTTGTGCAGTTTCTCCTGTGGCAGTGTTGCATATGTGGGCTCGTCACGTACGCCCAGCTGTGAAAGTGTCTATCAATGCGCTCGCTTCGTGCGGTGTCCGGCTGTTTGCATTAACTTCGTGCTCTTTTCAAGCTGCAGATAAACGTGAGGAAAAGAGAATCGGTAATGATCATGGTAAAACAATCAAAAGTTTATTTTTGCTTCCGCACAGTCACGCGCTCGGTCGTAGGCAATGTGAAAGAAGTGAAAAGGTCTGTGTCACGCTGCTAATGGGTATGATAGATTCCATTCATGCCCACGGCAGCCCTGTTCTGAAGGGTTTGAAAAGCAAGAATATGGTTCTGCTTGAATACAACACACTCATTGGTGCATAGCCATGTGATTTTGAAACGCAAAACACCACATTTACAATATCAGGTGGAGTTCTTTGTGGGTTTTCCTTAAGAAATATGAGGGTTTCCACCCTCTAGTGTTATTTGTGTCGGAGGAATTTACGTATGTACGGACAGTGATTTCGCTGATGTGTCAAGTCTCATGCTCGCTTGCTGCATCGAATTTCGCAAAATATATTGAATGCCCTCGCTTATAATACCACCGCCGCTAATGTGTCTGTTGTTCTCGTGTACTTGCTCACTCAACTCGTTGTTTATTTTCATGTTTCTTCAGCAATAATATCGGAGCTTCATTTCATCGAGACTATTGAGGTTAAGTGGGGTTGACGTTGTGTGGAAATTCTTCATGCTTTCACTTTCTGTTTTCGTGGAGAATATCAGCAACGGTACTGCCGCGCTCGTAACTACCAATATAGATAGCCACCGGATAAGTTAATTTTCCTTGCAGTTGATTACGTGGACATTACGTGTGAGACGAGTTGTCGACTTATCAGTGCGAAAGTCTTTAATTATTACCACAGTCACGTCGCTGAGTGCCCAATAGAAAAAGTTCATTGTGACTTTCTGTCGTTTGTGTTCGAATCATTACTATGTGGTGCTCCTGCGCGAAGTGAATATTCCTGACTTGTGAGGCGCTAGAGGATCACCCCGACATTTCATGCAATTCACGGTATACGACTACATGTTACCTGGCGACTGATAAGAAGCAATCTCTACATACGATCCAAGAAACGAACATATCTCAACATTTTCGGAATGTTTGTGTGCGTGGCATTATATTTTCCTAATTTTCCACTATCTCTCAAGAGGAAGGTATATAACAGCTGTATCTTGCCGGTGCTTAGCTACGGAGCAGAAACCTGGAGACTTACAAAGAGGGTTCAGCTTAAATTGAGGATGATGCAGAAAGCAATGAAAAGAAAAATGGTAGGTGTAGCCTTAAGAGACCAGAAGAGAGCAGAGTGGATTAGAGAACAAACGGGGGTTAAGGATATCCTAGATGAAATCAAGATATTAAAATGGACATGGGCCGGGCATGTAGCGCGTAGACAGGATAACCGCTGATCATTAAGGGTAACTAACTGGATTCCTAAGAAGGCTCGCGAGTTAGGGGGAGACAGAAGGATAGGTGGGCAGATGAGATTGAGAAGTTTGCGGGTATAAATTGGTAGCAGCAAGCACAGGACCGAGTTAACTGGCGGAACATGGGAGAGTCCTTTGTCCTGCAGTGGACGTAGTCAGGCTGATGATGATGACGGTGATGATGATGAATTTTCCGAATATATTAGGTGAGTGCTCCTGTTGGATAAATCGCCATTCTGTCAAGTCATAAAGATTTTTCGCAGATGCCAGCGTAACTTGCTCGACAAAGTGCAATGTATTGAGAGAATAGAAAACGTATAACCTTGCTTGTGATACTTCGGCACATATATGTTCTGAACCTGGAGTATATGCCTAACTGTAATCACGTTAGCAAATCTCAGAATATTTTCATAGCACTCATTCATCGATTTACGCAATGGAAACGACCATCTTGTTGTCCTGTAACACCAATTTTTTTAAACAAATGATGTTCGGACGTGAGTGTGCCTGCCCTAAGCTATAAATTATGGAAACGTTTTACAGATTCCACAAGTTTCACTAGTTATGAAACCTTCCACCTTGTACCAACTTCCACCTTGCGAGATTTGCGTCAAAAAATTGACGAGTAAACGCCAACGTTTCGCTAAGGTGCGGGTACATGGCAGGCGCCGAAAAAGGAGACGAGCGGTGGCGAAATAGGCGAGTCCTTGCCATGACGTCAAATCGCCGTGACCGCAGTGACGCCAGTGTCCATTTCCAGGCATAACAGACCCTGTACTTCTATAGTCATCGCTGAAAACCTTGAATTGTTGGGAGACTATGTCGTGGCTCCTTTAGCACTGGTCCACAAAAACTGAAGGAGGTAACTAAGCTTCTTCGTAAAACCTGTAGGCTTCTTTGTAGAACCTGTCGATGTAAAACCTATGTATAAAGCCTGTCGACTCTGTCTGTGCTCGGAATGGTATTTTCAAGATGCAATAAAACTACACTACCCCCTCTATACCTCGAAACTCGACCAAGAATGTTTAAAAAGAGCTAATGAAGCGTACTTGAAAGGCTTGCAAAAAAGAGAAACGAAACTGATTGACGAAGGGAAGGCCACCATCTTTGCAGTTTCATCAGTGTCCGAAATTCGGAACGCTTTGAGTTTTTCGTTTGTTTCTCTAATCTCCTCAGTTTTCCTTTCAAATGTAAAACTGGTAGTTATCGCAGAAGATTACTCACTGTTATTTTCTTCCCCACTCGCCAACTGTGCAGGTCTCAGAAGACCGCAAGGGTTACCTCGAGGACCGGCGACCTGCGTCCAACTGCGACCCATACAGCGTGGCACGGGCTATCGTCAACACCGTGTGCCTCAACAAGACCCCGTGACTAATCGGAGTGGCACCATTGACCTGAAGGATGCTCTTGGGCGGACACAACGAAGTTTCTTCACCAGAAACAACAAAATTCTATCTGCGCATAAATTATATGATATGCTTGATCGCGGCGTATTGTCAATAGGAGTGGAGCAAGAAAGCATGGTGTTACGTGAAATTCATGTTTCGAAACAATGAGCGAGGTTGTCATGGCTGCCATGTGATAATTATCTTACGTGGTTTCTACTGCTGGCGACAATATTATGCGGCCGTAACTTAGCAAGGGTCCCTGGTGTAAGCCACGTTCAATCTGCGCGCTTTATCACAGATTTTCGAAATTGAATGTAATGGAATGAAAAAAAACAATTTTTTTTCAAAAAATTTATGGCAATAGTCATTTAAACGACATCTGTTGCAAAATTGGTAACAACGATTTCGTAGCGATGTTCTCGAATTATATCAAGCATTTTCACAGGACAATAACAAGAAGTCATAATAATTCTTTCGCTGCCTAATAAAAGCGGCTTCGACAACGAACTTTTTTATACGTTAGCTTTGGTCATTATTCATTCATTATACATTCAACAGATATGTGCTAAATCATTCGTTAACCATTCATCCATGCATCTCAACAACTACGTTCTAACGCTATACAGAAGTTATATAAATTTAAAGCTGATGCTTTGCATTATATTACGACGCCAAGGTGCACTTGGATGTCACTACTGCAAACACAATGGTTCTATACTACCATCTTGGTGCGGGACGTCGAATTAACTCTGGCCTAAATTCTCTCTTTTACGATAATGTCTGTCATCAATGAAAGCTTAGTAATCGTAGCGAATGCATCAGTACACTAAGCCTGATCTTTTTTTTTTTTTTAATACGAAATGTGTTGTGCCGGGGTACACCACGGTTACACTGGCGTATTTCCGTCTCGGGCAAGCCGTTGAAAAACACGCACTTACAGATGGTAAATAAAACGTACAAGAAATAATTCCGACGCCAATAGTCAAACCTGTGACCCCTGGTGTATGATAACGTGGCGCAAGGTGACTCTACAACAAAGGAATTCTTCGACATACGATGAACTATTTGCAAAAACCGTTACCGTTGGCGGTACTCGGGGCTTATTAGCTTCAGCATGTCTTCGTCATCCCTAAGTAGATGGCACGACAGGTCCAAAGATTGTCGCCCCGCGCGTTGCAACGCACGCGCGCTTTCTTCGCGATGAGTGCTGTTTGTACGCTTCGTGCCAACAACGACTAAATTTCAAGGCCGAAGGGCTGCCGCTGTGACGTCAGAGGGTGGAAGCCTAGTTATCTTACCGAGCATGCTGAGTAATATTTTTTCCCACTTCTTTTATTCGGCCCAATCTAGCCGCAGCAGCTGCGACAGCGGGAGCGTTGGTTCTCCTAAAACGTGAACAAAACACTGGCTATTCGCTGCATTCGCGGCGTAACTGGGCCCCCACCCTCTGACGTCACTGCGGCAGCCCTTCAGCCTTGAAATTAAGTCGGTGTTGCTTGTGCCCTCGCCGCGAGTCAGAAAAGGCATGATAGTGGGTTCGCTCACCACAGCAGCCGCCCTTGCGAAACGAGGGCACCACTTACGTATAAAAAAGTTAGAACTTTGACAGTTCTTAGTTCAAGCTTATCCTGGCTGTACATGTGCTTTCGTCTCACGTGTGCTCCTTTGTGCTTGAGCATGAAGCATGCTTTAAGTGTCGAGGAGTGACAGTTGTTCGCTCTCATGATCTGCATGTTCTTTTCATTCGTCTTTTTTGGTTGAGCGGAACACGAGGGACTGAAAAAGCTGTACCTAGAACAGGTTGTGATAGTGCTTTGCTATCAGTGTTACGTCTATATTTTTGACACCCTTTTGCGAAAATGAATAGTTGAAACATTGAGCATCACGTGTACTGTTGCCTCTTTCGTTAGCGATTCGAGAATTTCGCTAAGCGCTCAACATCATCAGGTTACTGTATATCAAAACGCGAAAAATAAAAATACCGGACAGAAAAGACCAGTCTTATTCCTCAGTTGTTTTTGATATGTTCTGCATTTTGCTTCATCACAAAGAACTTGTTGCATGCATGCGTTGCAAATGACCAAGAAAAAAAACAAGGCAGCAGGCGTTTTCGTACGCAGTGATAGAGCAGAACACTTGTATTTAAATTATTATTGAAGGGTCATATAAAACCATTTTTTGTTTTTTTAGGAGATGCATTGAAATATTTGATTGATTGATTTGTGGGGTTTAACGTCCCAAAACCACTATATGATTATGAGAGACGCCGTAGTGGAGGGCTCCGGAAATTTCGACCACCTGGGGTTCTTTAACGTGCACCCAAATCTGAGTACACGGGCCTACAACATTTCCGCCTCCATCGGAAATGCAGCCGCCGCAGCCGGGAATCGAACCCGCGACCTGCGGGTTAGCATGCATTGAAATATTTTGCGCGGAGAAAGATCAACACTCCATTTACCGTTACGCTTATCTTAGAAACGGGGCTATATATATGCTTCACATTTACAGTGGGAATAAAGCGACCGTATGGTCTTGGCAGTAAAGGAACCATGGGATGACCAAGGTGGTGAACACCCTAGCAGGTCTTGCAAGTACAAAACCTTTTATTTGGTGAATTTGCGCTTAAGACTCAAGTAAAAGCTATGCACGCTGTTCCCTCAAGTCAGCATGAATGGTCCTTGGCCATCTAATAACCAAGATATTCATTGCTGGAACGCGCAGTTTCTTTATAAAACACGTTCTAAGCTTTGCGCGTTATCGCTATAGCGCTCGCTCAGGCCCTAAAATAGACTTTACTACGCGCGTTCTGCGTGTAATTTGAACAAATGTACCCAAAGAAATCGCAAGGCATCACAAGCACCGTGGCGTAGCATGCATCGGGAGTTGAAAACTTTTTTTTTGTTGCATAAACTCGAATACATCAATATAAAGCAATAAACACGCGTGTGAATTCTCGGCTCGGAAGAAGCATCGTGCTAGCGTTTACACCAGAATGAAGGAGAGCAAGTAAACTCTATTTCATACGAAAGAGGAATAAAAAAACAAGAACTAGAGTCTTCAGGTTCCTTCATGCGATTTGAACGGTTTAAGGCGCACGACATGTACGACCCTGAGGCTTGCCTGATGCCACTTTAGAGTTCGCGATAATGCAAACTCGATGCCAAGTGCACCAGGACTTCGAAGTACCTTGTGCGGTCCGAAGTATTGTCACGGAAACTTTTCGCTAAGCCCTCATTAGCGTTTTGGCGTCCACACTCAAGCAGGGTATCTTACGTGGTATTCGATGTTGAGTTAAAAAAAATCAAAGCGACGGCTACCGTTAGTTTGTTGTCTCCTGTTGTCCAGGTGCGCGAGTTGTCTGGCTGCTGGTGTTCTGAAGGTAGATTGTGACATCCTAGGTTTTATTGATTCGTGATTTCGGGCAGCATGGCGTCAACTGTCGCTGTCTAGTTTAATCCAAAATGTAATTTTCAAGGAATGACCTGTGTCGTTTCTTGCTCAGCCGTGTCGTACCCGGAAGATGCGTGCGGAAGGATGCGATCCCTATTTTGATGTTTAATGTCGACGTTTTACATGGCTAGTATGTCAGCAGTAGTATCATTTCGACATTCGCAGAGGTCATTTGTCTGTGGGTGGTAGGTGACGGTCTTGTAGTGGCTTGTGTGGCTCTATTTCAAGAATGCCTGAGTGAGGTCCACAGTGAAGGTATTAAAATAAATGAGAGCTGAGGTACTTGGTATTTATTCTGCAAGACAAAACATACAATTACGAAAGCAAGGAATTGAGTACACTACTGACGCCTACTTGATATAGTGAAGAGACTCACAACGAAGGTAAATAAGGCACGAAAAGTTATACTTGCGTAATCACTAGACACCCACGTACGCGTACCGGATCGATAGGTTCCCTGTTGAATAGGCATGGACCAGTAAGCTTTCAAATCTTGTGTTTTTTTTTTGCTTTTCTGCGTCTCTTCAGTTCTCAGTCATCACTTGTGCCGAGAAAAAATTTATAGCAGCTGCGCACTAGCCGTGCCTAGTTTGAAAAATGAGCGCTTCCTGGTGGCCTTCCTTTTTCCTCCTTATTTTCTTGCAATATATATATATATATATATATATATATATATATATATATATATATATATATTGTTTTGCTGGTATATTATTTCCTGTTCCTTTGTATCTCTTGCTCGCTTTGTCTCCCTTTGTATTTTGCTCCCTTCTTCTTGATTTTGTCTGTGTATATTTATCTTTATTTTATTCCTCTCTTACATTTATTACTATTTTCTGTTTCTCTTTTTTATATCTTTCTGTCTGTCTCTGTTTTTTTTTACAGCCTGTGTTTCTTCATTTTTGATGAGTAGTTTTTAGTGGCGCAAGGGCCAATTGATGGCCAAAGAGCGCGTTTCTTTGTTCTTAAGAGGAAAGTGTCTTATGCTGGCGTCTATCAAAACTTTAGTGACCCGTTTTCACCATGAATGTGGCGTTGGCAAAATAGGCTTTCTCTTTGACACAGAAAAAGCTCTAACAAAAGTTTCGTCATCTGGAATCGCACAAACGACCTCTCCATCCGTAATGATAAGTGCTCGGCGCTTTACCAACTCAGCTACCAAGGCCCATAAACGACCCCATAAAAACGCACCTCATATCAATCACATTCCTTTAACGTACTCTAGTCGGGTCTAGGCGGAGCTAGAGTCACTTTATGCGGCTCCTTGCTAGCCAAGGGTTATTTCCCTGTCTTCCATCTGCCGCTGATCTGCCATTCACCAAAAACGATCACGTGGCAGTCCTATATGCTGTAGTGAAGTGCACTTTCTGTAGAAGGTGCAGTGCTCTTCTTCCTTTCGGCCTCATGGCTTCCAGCGCCATCGCTATCAGCACATCGCATACTTTGGTCTACGGTGTATTTCACGCAGCAGCTTTCCCGTGGATGTGTTATTAATTCCCTGTGAACCACTTGTTTTCGTGTTTGGTGCCTGACAGAACTATCACAACGTGAACGAGAGAGTGATTGCAAAAAAAGAGAAAAATATAGAGTGCACTAATCTCCCTCACCAGTCACTGGGACATAGGTCAGTGCCCTTGCGGATGGGAAAGGGAAAGTAAAGAAGTCAGAAAGAATAACGGACGAATGAAGAAGAAATTAGCATGACAAGGTATCTTGCAGTAAAGGTGCGAACACGAATGTAAGCGTTCAGCGAAATCTGCAGAAACCGCGAACTCGAGCAATTTTAACAGGACCCGTATCTTTGACCATGGGAGAATGGCGATGTCCTCCGCATTTGTCGCAAGGAGACCAAGCAGGCCTCTGCAGCTCACTATCTCACAAAGTTCAGCGGCCAAAGCAGGGCAGGAGCAAATCATATGCTCCAGTGGTTCATCGTCCCCGCATCTGCGGCACGCAGGCGATGAGCAGCGACCTTTGAAGTACATATGTGCAGGAAGTCGGACGCTGCCGGCCCACAGACGAAGCAGCTACAGTCACTCACGTCTCTCCAGGCCAATCTCCTGAAGGGATGGTGGCGGTTGGTGCTTGCCACTAGCACGTCAGGGTGGACCATTGGTAGCAGCTGCCACAGTTTTTGCCCAGAGTAGTCAAACTGGGATACCGCCTTGTTTACTTGAGTGTCGCTGTGGTGTGGTGCCTAACATGACAGGGTGTAGTGTATTCTGTATACACCATAGGATTTGAAGTGAGGCATTTTTCCTACACTTCACGCGCGCAAACTAAAGTCCGACGGCGACTGCAATGAATTTAGTGCAGAGACGCGACAAGAGTCGAGTAATGCCAAGGGCTAGAATGACCATGCATGCGCACTTGGAGGCTCTCGACAGAAGGCAACGAGC